TATTATTATTATTATTTTTATTTTTAATAAAATGCTGAAGTGGTAGGTAGATGCAAGATAAAGGTAGAAAACATAGTTTAGTGTTGTAAGAGAGCAATTGTAGATGATCATGTGTGTGCCTGTAGACTATGTGCTAATCTGAGCTAGACAAGGGCAATAAAACATCCATGGATGCAGAAGCTTTCTCTCAAAACGGGGGGGTGAGGTTCTAAGCTTCACCACTGTTGTTCCCCAATTTCTCACCTGATGGCCCCCCTGCGACTGTGCCTGTCTTAGGTTGTTCCTCCCTTGAGGAATCTGTAAGCTCATTTTTTAAGCTGCATTCCTAGAATCATTTTGGAGCTGTCCTGGTCCTAAGAAACCCTAATTCAACAGATTTCTTACTCTATAGAAATACTGTCTTCATACACACTATTGCATTAATAAGTGCATACTATCTACATAGTCTCTAAGGTGTATGTAGCCCATCATGTTTTTAATTTCATTTAATCCTGACAGGTCAATAAGATAAATATTCTCATTATGTGTGGATAAGTGAGAAGTTTAGAGGTTTATCCCAAATCATCTAGTTATTTAAGTGACAGAGCCTGTATTAGGGTCTTTTGACTATAAATTTGATGCCTTTCTCATCATGTTGTTGTCTTTTTATGCTTATTTTTTAGCTAGACATTGCATTGTTGGCTGCAGTCAGGTTTATTATAAATTAAAAGCTCTAGGTCTTTTTCATACATTGTTTTTAAGTCCAGGTTCTCCTCATCCTGTACATCTGTAATTGATATTTTGAACTTAAATACAGGACTCTGTTTATCCTTATTCATTTTCATCTTATTATTTTTTACTTACGGTTCTAGCCTTCTGATATCTTTTGAATCCTGATTCTGTTATCCAATTTATTTATTATTCCTTCCAGCTGTGTGTCAACAGCAAATTTCATAAATAGAATGTTTTTGTGATTATAGAAGCCCATCCTAGTAACCTCTTTAGTATACTGTGTTCCTATCACATAGTTGAAACTTAGGAAGTGGTAATTGATTAAAAAACAATAAAGATTTTTGTACAGGACAGGGAAAAGAAAACAATATAATATTTTATAAAAAGAGAAAATACCCTCAATATAACTCTTCTTAGTTATTTCTTTTGGACGTAAAATATTCCAAGATTACCATAGAACTACTGTGTTTCCCTCTTATGTTTTGATATGTTTATAAATCTTTTTCATGGTAAATAAAGTGCTTAATGATTTTCCTTTCATATCTGAACCCATTTATCAGTATTTTCAGAATCCATTGCCTAGTAACACTAGTTTCCTGAAATTGTCTTACTGTCACTGAGGGCTTGAGAATGTGTCTGTAGGTCTGAAAAGAGGAAATCTGGTTATAAGGAGCACTAGCCCTTAATTTGTGTCTGTATTTACATACAAAGTAAGGTTTTTACATATATGTGTGTTAAAAAGTCAATAAAAATATTGGTTTTTCTAAAGAAATTTTATTCATGCTAAACATGAGATTGAGAAAACACCAATTGTACTAAATAATACAATTATATTTTTGGGGTGTTTTGTGGGCAGTGCTGATGAAGATTTTGTGGTGGGAAGCTAAAGTCCCCCAAGCCACCCAAAGGTGCCATCATTAGCTGGGTAATATGAGAGTGATCCTAGCCAGCCACTTAGCATCATCCCCATTTGACTTCCGGGTCTTACACCATACTCTTTATAACTCTTCATAGGCAGTAAATTTATAATTCTCTATAATCAATAAATGGCAAAATGAAAGAAATATGTAAAAAGATAATGCCAACAATACTGGTTTTGTGGACAGAAATAAGTTTTTAGATAATGTTTACAGTAATGATGTGAGTTAATGTTAAATTCATTCTATTAACAAAATTATTTTAATAGCTTTACTTTAATTGGTTTAGTTCTGTATTTATGGAACTAATAAAGTTTAGAAAGGACTAGTTAAAACCTTCAGTTATGTACATCTCATGGTGGAAACTATATAGTGGTAGTTGCTTCCATGTGATTCATAAAGACACTGGGTTGTTCCACACATTATTAAGAGCCTACTTTGTTTCATTTTTTTAAAAAAATAGTTTTTGATCTGTTACATTTACATATTTTTTTTCAATTTTGTGGGAAGTTTTAGTGTTTACATTGAAGATAATAAACTCTAATTGTCTGAATCTCTAAGAAAATTAAATATAATTTATAGTGCTCTGGGAATTGGAGGCCCTCATAGATGCCATTAGTCAGAAATATATAAATTTATCATCCTTAGTGAACTTGCTCTTATGAAGCAGCAGCTGGATTGGAGACTATTCTAATTTCTTCTAAACTATAATCATTGGATTTCAGTGTTAGTATCTTTGCAAACATTTGAGTGGGTTAATGCAGTATACTCTATGACTATATAATAATATATAGCTATTAAATATGTAATAAAAAGTTGTGTTGTTTTAGACTTCATGAATGTATCAATAAATGATTCTGTTAAGTAATGTTCAGCATAATGTATTATACTTTGAAGTGTTAATTTTTTGAATTGTTGGAGTCCACTTTATTTTGTCATTTATTTACAATTTAAACTTTATTTCTCAAAAGAATTTGAGATGATTTCTAATTACTTGAAGATATTCCCCACTATAAATGAATGGCATTACTCATCAGCTGTAATTGTTGAAATTTGCATTAGCTGTATAGATTACTTTGTTCTGAAATTAATTTCTGTCAGCTACTGGTTTCATGTTTGTAGAACACATTCCAAAACTCTTTGTTGGCATCTTTTTCAGTGGGTAAGAATTAAATTTAGCTTTCTAATTTTTCTTATTTATAATATTTAAAGGTAAATGCAACAGTATATTTTGAATATTTGGCCACTAAATCACATGATCAGGTCTTCCTGAAGTGATATTTGAATCATCTTATTTTCCTAAATATCTAAGTTTTTAATCAAGAAACAATGCCTTTCAGTTACCATGTTATCTTTCAGTTTATTTCTTGTAGTTTTCTATTTTTATTTCTTTCGCCCTCATTTCTTTTTTCATTTCAGTATTTCACTCTTTCTCAATTTTTCTAATTTCTTAAATTCCATATGCTATTTTTTTCCTAAAAGAGTTGTGCTCTGTAATTTCCTAGGATAAAGAACTTTTTTTCTAAGATTATGTATGTCATGTATGTTATTATTAAACTTGTAATAAAAGTCACTTTCCAAAAGAGCTCAGACACAAGAGTATGTAACTAGGGCCTCTGAAGAGTCTAAAAATTGATTTTCTAAACTTTTACAAAAGATATCAAAAACATAGCTAAACTGGCATTGCTGAAAAGAATAAAAATGGTAGTCACAGCAATAAATGAGTTTGCAAAGTATGAAACATCAGGGTTAAAAGTTCCCCCAAAATAATGGGATTTTTAAGAGAAATTTCTATACCGTGATTACTATTGAATGTAGTTCTATCTAGATGAAAAAATAAAGAATAAATTGCATATTAACTAATTTCTTCCTGTTTCAAGATGAAGCAAACCTTAATTAGATCCCAGTTTGCTTGTACTTATAAGGATGACTGCACCATAAGCAAAGGTAAATGGAATCATGTTAATTTAACATCAAAGCCTTTGTGCGTTCTTCACATGGAAAATGACCTTTCAGGTAACTGACTTTATTTGAGCAATTATTAAATAACAATCGACTAGTGTGCTAACTGGTTTTAACTTAAATAAAACTAGATTTTTTTTCATAGAATGAAATATGAAATGTAAAAGTTTAATTTTTTAAAGACCTGAATTTATTTAAAAAGCTAATTATAAGTACATTTATGGATAGGAATAGAATGCAGTTCAATGGAACTAAATATATTTAAGAAACAACTTACAGCATTTAAGAATTAAGTGTCATGCATTCAAATAAACCAAATATTTGTTGTTTGTAGGGATGAAATATGAGATGGTAAAACAAAAAGTAATATGACAGTAGTATAGCTGTGCTTGTTAATCATTTAGAGCATTTTTATAGTAATTTTTCATTTTGTGGTAATTTATATCATTATTTTATAGCAAATCATGAATTTTTGAATATCTTTAGCTACTTTTAAAGTTTATTGTAAAATTATCTCATGTAATAATACTAAATATTACATAATTCCTTCCCTCTTTTCATCTGGCATAACAGAAGGTATAAATTCATCTGTTGGAAGACCAATAATTGGAAAAAATTCTGGAAATGTTCATCTGGACAGAAGTAAAAATGAAAAAGAAGGAAGAAAGTCAAGTCATCAGACAGGAAATAAAAACTCAAAAAGAAAGCAGGTTGATTTGAATGATGAAAATAATCTCTGCAATAATGGGAATGAACCATATGAACATAAAAATGTTAAGATATGTAAGACATTAAACGATGTCTTGCAAAATAAATTGGATGGCAAACTCTCCCGAGTAGCAAAAAGCAAGAAGTGCTCTGCCAAGGACAAGCTGATTACTGGCCAGGCAAAGTTAACTCAGTTTTTCAGACTGTGAATTTGTGTTTTATGTGCTTTAGATTTCTGTATTTATAAAACCATTTACCAAAGTCATCTACTTAATTTTTAGGAGAACAGGTATAAATTATGATGCTTTATTATTTTGATCTGGAGTTTGTGTAAGGTTATTAACATGTTAAGCATTGTTTAAAAAAATACTAGTAAGCCATAATGATGCAGAATATTCACAAAAGTTTAATGCACAGATAAAGGATATCATTTAGGTTGCTGATGTATCTTAATATTACTTTCTTTTAAAACAGACATTGAAAATATGAATTATAGTAACTTTAAGGGCATTTCCCCCCATAGGCAATTAAATGATTTTGTTTTCTTCTGAAAAGATGATGTGTGGACCAGCAGGTATCAGATTTGCCAACAAGGTCGGTAGACTCTTCCCAGCATACACCTGAGCACTGAAGGAAAGGAAAAAAAAGTTTAAATTGTTTAAAGAATCATTACTATCACATCAAATTTCTTAGAAATAAAAGAATGGATCTAGTATAGCTAATTGAGTGATAATACAATACAAAATTACAATAACTAATTAAGTGCTTTTAAATCCCACATCTTTGGCAGGGGTCATTTAATAGCAAGTGTAATTGAACCATGGTCTTAACTGGATTTTGTTATGGTTAGATCCAAATTCATTTAAACTCAAGAGTTCTATTTTAGGGTAAGATACAATTATATGGTAAGATATAAAAATTAAATTTTAAAAAGACTACTCACTGTCAAAATCTCTTCTTCCTATAGGAAATTTAGCTGAGTTTTCTTCATCTCCAATTTCTCTCTTTTCTTGTATTGGTTCAGTATTCTGAACTCTATTCTCAGCTGGAAATCCTTTTAGTGTAAGATAAGGTTTTATAGCCAGATTCAGTGGCAGACCATGATTTAAGAAATTGTGTTTGGAGCCTGCGTTCTGTAAAGAAAAGGTTGATTTGTATTTTAGCTGTCTTACTAGGAATGGAATTATAATGCAGTTGTATAATATTCTCATCAATCAGTTCAAAGATGCTCTACAATGTTTTAGTTCTTTAAAAGTACCGTAGGTACAGGTCTTTGGGGAAAAAGATCCTTTTGGATAAGAGGTGTTGTCCAGGATGAAAGAACAACCTGATATGTATGAAGTTTCAACAGTTGGTCTAATGCATATTGTGACTATTTGCTCATACTTCTGTTTATAAAATAGAAGCATCGATTTTACTTTCAAAGGATTCATAAAAATCATCCAAATTTCCACATTGCCACTTACCTTTGAATTTTTGTTTTCGTCATCATTCATGGAACTGCTCTCATCATTTTTATATTGTTCCAGAGAAGGAGCAATGACTGTTTTTTGTGCAGTATCTTCCTTCTGAATGGCTTTCCCCAGCCTGAATGTGTTAAATACCATGTCATCTTCTAAATTTCTTATAGACTTGGTTGCTGAAAGTAAAATGCCTTGAGAAAACAAAGAAAAAGTTAGCATTAATATGTAGGAAGAGGGACTCATTTTTACCATTCTAGTTTGATGTTCGCATAGAGTCAAAGATGTGTAAATTGAAGAAAAATTTCTCAGTTAACCTGCTTTGTAAATGATTCCTACCTTTATATATTTTGTAGCTTGAATAGAAAGCCCTTCAAAGACTTAGACTTTCATCACTTTAGAAATGACTCATCTGATAGAGGCTAACCTTTTGTGTAACTGCTAATGCCTACATTATTTTGGTTTTAGTGGCATGTTGTTTATTTTGAGTGTGAATTTCCTCAGAATCTGATTAAGATCCTTGGTAGAACGCTTTCTTTTGAGCAGATTATAGTCTCTTGAAAATGGTTTGTTTTTAAGGAAGACCACAGGACATCAGGCTTTCCATATTCTTATTGTTTCCTTCTGTATATTTTTTTATTAAGATATTAAAACTAAAATTATTTCACTCAAGGATGATAGGATAAAAGTTTTATTTACTTTTAATCCGAATTAAATTGAACTAATCTTCAAAAAGGATTTTCTCCCATAAATCTTGATATGGTCTTTGGTGATGTAATAATTATGCCTGTCATTGTGAACAAAAAGCTGATCATGCTCTAGCTAAAACTGACCTGTCAGGTGTGTTTTATCTCTTCATTTACAAAAGAATATTTCTGATATTTATTAATGAATTTAGCAATTAATAGGAACCTTAAGAGAATATTTAGGTACTCTGTAAATATTCATGTTGGATGTTGAGTATGTTGTATGCTTTTAATTAAACATTTCAGAGATCTTTTCTCATTTTGACCCCACCAAGTTAAGAGAATATATTCTTGTATATGTCTTCTGGTACATAGGTGTGCAAATTTTCCTAGGTATGGAATTTCTGGGTCATGGAGTATGTACAACTAGCTTTACTAATGCCAAAATGTTTACAGAATAGTAGTCATCAGTTTAAGCTCCCACCAGCTCCCATTGCTCCATTGAACTATTTATGGTTCCTTTGATATAAAATGCCTTTAAAAAGAATCTTGTCCTTTTTTCTATTGGGTTGCTTCTCTTACTCATTTGGTTTGTGGGAGTTTTTTGTATATCCTAAATATTAATTCTTTGTTAGTTAATGTGTTTTAAGTATTTTTCTCGCTTGAGTTGTCTTTTCAATTCCTTTATGTCTTTTGGTGAAATTGCTTAACTCTAACGTTTTAATATCTTTTTTTTCTCTTTATGGTTAGTACCTTTAATATACTGTTATTTAGAAATCCTTCCCAACCTTGAGATAATTAACATATTTTTGTGTATTTAAGTGTTTTGACTTTCACATTTAAATTCTTAATTCATTTAGAATTTTTGTGTATGATAAAAGATAGACATAAAATTTTACTTTTTCCAAATATCCTTACATATTTCTTGAATAATTCAGCGTGTCCCAACTAAGCTGCAGTGCCATTTCTGGAGTATATCAAATTTCCATATATGTGTGGGTCTTTCCTGGATTCTATAGTTCACTGCTAAATACAGTCTTAATCATTATAACCTTAAAATAATTTTTGTTATCTGGTAGGTCAAATTTCTCAGCCCCCTACTCACCCACTAGTTCTTCATCTCCAGCAGTTACTTGGCTATTTTTACCCATTTCTTTTTCATATAAATCTTAACATCAGCTTCTTAGGTTCTGAGAAACTTGAATGGGAATTTGAAGGGAATTGCATTCATTCTGTAGATTAATTTTGGAAGGTAGTTGACACCCTTAAGATAACTTAATTTCTTATCCATGAACATGGTTCTTTTCCATATTAATTTAAATTTTCTTAATCTTTCAATAACATTTTGTTGTTTTCTTTATAAAGGTCTAGCATAACGTTTGTTGAAGGAATTATATTTCTTTGTAATTATAATTAAACTCCTCATTTTTAGTTATTATAAATGGTATCTTTAAAAATTTACCTTTCTATCATTATTTCTAGTTTGTACATATGAAATTGGTTTTTATGTAGTGCTTTTGTATACAAAAAAAAACTTCCTGAATTCTTTTTAGCTCCAAATCGTTTACAAATGTGTTATTTCTTTGGGGTTGTCCATGAAGAAATTGATATAAATAATAAAATAATGGCATTTTATTTCCTCATTACAAGTCCTTCTATACTTCTATATTTGTATGTGTGTTTGTGTATGTGAGTTTGTGTGGCTATCCATGTGAGCATGCACACTGACCAAAACCTCCAGTAGATGTTGAAAATGGAGATAACAGACATCTTGATTACTGAGTTTAAAGAGAATGTTTTAATATTTCACCACTGAACATGATGTTAGCTTTAGGATTTTTATAGACACTCTTTATAATTTGTGAGATGTTTTCTTCTATTTTTGGCTTACCAATAGTTTTTATCATGAATTGTGGAATGTTATTGAATACTTCTTTTGCCATCTATGGAGATGATCATATCCTTTCTTCCTTGTCTTTAATTTAGTATATTAAATGAAGAGATTCTTTTCATGCTATATTAACCATGTGTTCATGAAACAAACATTTTACAAATATTGGATTCAATTTAATAGTATTTGATTTACATTTATTGTCATAAGTGAGATCTATCTGTTATTTCCCTTTCTTATACTACCTTCATTTATCTTGGCATTAAGGTTGAATTAGCTTCATAAAGTGAACCAGGGAGCAAATTTCTTTTTGCCTCTGAAAAACTGTTTGGGCTTGGTGTTTTCTTGGTGGGCTTTTTCTTTTTTTTAATGGTTGATTGGTTTTCTTCAGTGTAGGAACATTCAGCCTGATTCTTATTTAGTCTGTTTTAGGAAGTCAAAATATTGTAGAATTTGCCTATTTCACTTGTTTTCAAATTTGCTAGTATAAAGTTACAATATTTTCTTCTAAATATTTAAAGCCTTGCCTCGTCTCTAGTTGTATGTCATTCTAATTATGCTTATTTGTGATCTATTGGTCTCTACCTGACTCTTCTCCACCCCTTTTTTCAATCAGGCTCGGTAGATGTTTATTGATTTTGTTAGCCTTTACAAAAAACTTTTGGTTTTTGTTGATCTTTAGTATTTTTTTTTCTATTTCATCAATTTCTGCTTTTTATTATTTATTTGAGATTTATTTTGCTATTTTCTTAACTTCCTAAATTGAAGGAATAACTCATTAATATTTAGACTTTTTAAAGTATTCAGGCATTTAAAGCTATGCATTTTCCTTTATGTATCATTTTTGTTAAGTCCAACAATTTTGATAGGAAGGAAATTCAATGTTTAATTCTAAGTTTTTATAATTTTTATTATTTTTTCTTGCTTAAACACCAGTTACTTAGATTTTTTAGCATTCCAAATGTGTGGAATTGAAATTTTGGGGGAAGGAGTCACAAGTTCCAATCAAACTGGGTTGTTGTCAGAAATCTTGGTCTATAAATTACAGAGTATTTGAAATCTGCATTAGGTTGAATAGCATGTAATTAATTATTTTCAACTGCTTTTGATGTACAAATAACAATTTTATATGGTTCAACTTAGAGGAACTTTCTTTATGTTATGGCCTAATATCTTCACTTTGCATAAAAGTTCCATTTATCCTTGAAAAGAAAATGTATACATTATTATTTAGAGCAGGATTCTATATGTATCCATAAAATGAAACTTGATAATATGTTGTTTGAGTCTTGTATATTTTATTAATTTTTTTGTCTGCATGAACTGTCAACTGCTGAGAGAGATACTTGCAAATCTTTCACTGTGATAATGGACTTACCTGATTCTTTTTGAAGTTTGCTATTTTTGCTTCATTAATTTTGAGCTTATGATATTAGGACATCCAAATTGGAAATGTTTTTGTCTTCCTCATAAACTGTACCAGGCATCATGACCCTCTATAGGAATATATAAATTATTATCACTTTTTCTGTATCTTTATGTTTTAGACTTATCTATTGTAAATATCATATAGCTGAGTTTGGAATATTTAGTTTGACAATCATTGTCTTTTACTTGGAGAGTTTAGTCCATTTACATTTATTCTGTTCACTGAATTATTGAGGTTCTATTATTACTATCTTACTTTGTGATTTTTATTTGTTTGAATATGTAACTCTCCCCCACCCCCCCGGTTTGAATTTAATCTATTTTTTTCATTCTTTTAGAGGGTACCCTAGACATTTTAATTCATCTTTGGTTATTTACATTTAAAGTTTATCAGTATTTATGTCCTCCTCACAAATAATGTGAAGACCTAGAATCCTTAACTTGTGTCACTACTATTCCTAATTTTACATGCCATTATTTTCTAAGATTTAAGTTCTATCTTGATTTTTTAAATGAAACAAATTAGAGATTATTTATTGTTTTATATTTAATATAAATATTAAATTATATAGTTTATATAGTTAATGTTTGTTTACATTTACCTATAAGTTTACTATTTTTTCTCATCATTTTTATATTTGATCTTCCTTTGACAACCATCTATTTTCTTTCTGAAGTTCATCATTTTGAAGTATACTAACTTAGATGCTAACTTAAGAGTAGTCTGTTTCTAATGAACTAAGTTTTGTTTTATTTTAATTAAATGTATTTTACTATTCTTGAAAAATAATTTCAGTTGATTATACAACTATTCAGTTGACAACTCTTTTCTCTTTGTACTTTATTATTGTTTCAGTTTCTGATTTTCATTGTTACTGCTGAGAATTAAGCTGTCAGTTTTAATCTTGATTCCTTTATTGGTAATGTATATTCTAGCTGGCTGCTTTTAAAATTTTGTCTTTGTCTTTGATGTTCCTTAGTTTTACATGATGTGTCTGGATTTATTTTAATTTATGCAGGTTTTGATTCTTGAATCTGAGGACTGATGTTTTTTTATAAATTCTGGAAAAATTAGTAGTTATTATTTCTTTGAATATTGCCCCTCCCCTGTTTTATTTCTCATTCTGGAATTACTAATAGATAGATAGATATTGTGCCTGCCTGCTCACTCTATCCTCTTGTCTTATAACCTCTCTTTGTTAGTTCCTCTTTCTCTGTCTGTGCTGTATTTTAAGTAATTTCTTCAGAGTTATATTCCAGTTCACCAGTGCACTTTCACTTGTATCTAATCTGCCATTTATCCTGTGTATTGTGCTTTTAGTTTCACATATTTTTTTTACTTTTTAAAAAATTCTAGTTGGTTCCTTTTAAGATCTGCCTGGTCAGTTATGGTTTTCTATTTTATATTCAGCACTTTTTAAATTTCTTCATGTAGTGTTTTAAATATATTAAACATTTATTTTTAATTTTGAACACATTTGATATTTGTATCTATTCCAGAATCTGCTCTTTGTCTAATTCTGCACTTTGTTATTTCTACTCATAGTGAGTGCTTCATGTGTTCAGTGAATTTTCATTTTGTGCATATATTCATTGAACTATATCTAAAGGAATCCTTGAAATTCCTGTATTTGCTTCTGTCAGGCACCTGGAACCCTTCCAGTCCAGGCCCACTTGAAAATTTCTGTTTGAGGCTTTTCAGGCCACAGAGTCAGTTCAAATACCAAACGAAGTGATTATGCCTTTGCCATTAGGAATTCTTGAGACAATATACGTTTTTTTTCTTTTTCCCCCTTCTTCATTACTGGAGTTATTCCAACCACAGGCACATTTCCTCCTACTAGCTGGGTATTTTTTTTCTAATTTACTTCCTTATAGGGGTTCCTAGCTTTACGTGGGAGTTCTTGATCTGGGTCCTTAGCTTTGTCTTCTGTCCCAACACATGTGGATCATTAAAACCAGGTGCTAGGCCACCAGGAATTCACAGAATCTCTCAAAGCAAATGCTGGCTCTAACCCTTGTTAACCCCTGTAGAATATTGTAAGTTTTCTTTTCTGGCCTCCTATGGTTTCC